TTGCAGGGGGGGGGGAGGGAGGGGAAGGGGGTATGGACAAGACAAGCAATATGAGGAAACAACCTGTGCCACAGACAGTAACTCTGCTATCTTGTTCAGTTTCGATTCCATCTGATTTTATTTCACACCATTCCTGGTTGATTGCAGAAATACAGGAATCCTTCAACTCCCCTGGATAAGTCCCACAAACACCCACTTGCTAATTCTAACTCTAACTCTCTTGTTACTATGGCAGTTTGACTACAAGACCTCTGTGCCCTTGCATGTTACTATAGCAACCATTACTTTCTTATAGAGACCGCTGTTTCTCCATAGTGCCAAAACTCCTTACCGATAGCAACCACGCCCTCTCCATAGCAACTGCCCCTTCTGCTTCGCTACTCCTCTGGTTAAACAGAGGTGTGTGAGAAACTCAGAAGGAAAGAATGGTACATGCTGCGAGTTGTGCGCCTGCTCACTTCCTATTTTTGCATAAATCCAGGATTTTTCATCCTATTTCCTAGTTTTGGAAAATCTCCTTTAATGTTTAACCAGCTTTTTCACACAAATGGGCAATAGCTACGTCCACTGACAAAAAAAAAATATTTAATGTAGATTTAGACCAGCGGTGCACGGCTCACTGGTTAGGATTGTTGCATCAGACCTCCAGGGAACAAGAGTATGAAATCCCAGCTCGGAGTCAGTGTTGTGCGAGTTTCTTTCAAGTACTCCGCTTTCCTCTTGTCATCCAACAACATGTAATTAAGCTAACCGATGCCTATGAATTGCTAGTAGTGTATGACTGTGCATGTAAATGTCCTGCAGTTGATTGGAGTCGCACTCTAGCCGTGCCTCAGCCTTGTCTCCTACGGTATCTGTGATAAGCTCCAGGTCCCCCTGTAACCCTGACCAGAATAAGCAGTTAGAAGATAAATGGGTTTAAAAACAATATTAAAATGATATACTTATTTAGAAGAACTACAATAAATGTTAATACCCAACCCGTCAGTCTGTGCTGTCACCTTGCATATCTAGGTGTGTCCTTAGAGCTGCGTGTTCAAAGCATGCATGCCTTGTGGTATTTCCATGGGTACCTTGTACCCACGATTCACCCTAAAAACGTACTGTTCAGGTGAAATGTTGATGGTAAACTGCCATTCGTTGTTAGCAACTGTTAGTGATATCAGGTGATTTTAACGCACTATATGATATTTAATACATACAAACACTGTAGCAACACGTTCACGGACACCGGTTGGACAGTACTGTGTGTACGACCGATTTAATGAATCACAAATAACAAAAAACAGTATATAACTACAACTTTAACTTCTGTCGACAAAGGGCGCAGCCATCTTGAATTCTGAGGTAGCAGAGGTTCCTCCGACATTTAGAGTTGGAATTCCAACTTCAAGGGGTTGTTACAGTTGAAATTTCTGACTAGGGGTCTTGGAAATTACGATTTCCAAGATCAAATGGAACACAGCATGAGGTACGCTTTTATTAAAGGCTAAGGTCTCAAAGGTTATTAGATTAAGATTTGAATCCATGACCTAGCAGACATGGGCACAAGCCCCTGACTTGTTAGGCTGAATGCTGCCCCTCTACATTGCACTAATGTTACTGAAGTTGAATAGTTACATGTATCGACAGTTTCATATCGCATACAGTTTAGTGTATCCAGTTAGAGTTTTTTTGGGTGACACAGAAGTAACAATGGAGAATGCTTCAACTCAATAAACTGATGTGTTTAGACTGCAACCCTCATGTTACTCAAGATTTTTT